TTTTTATTTTCAAATGTGAAAATTTTTTTTCTTCAAATTCTCTTTTTCATTTTAAAAATTTATATTTAAATTTAAATATATTTTATATTGTATTAAATAAATTTACTCGTGCGGACACATATTTTCTTAGTATTTTAAAAGAAATGTTCTTAATGTATCGGAGGAGAATTTCTTTGGGCCGTTGAAGCTTCAACCTATTGGGCCTACACAGAGGTCCGCTTAAAAGAAAACTGGGACATACGACGTAGCTTAAAAAAAAGCCATTATAAAATGTATCTAATAAATTTCTAGGGTTTGTCTTCGTCTCTACTGATAACAACTCGCGCCTCTATCAGAGTCTTGTTCCTCCTACCCAACCGAAACCATGGTGTGTAACTAACTCTTCATCCATGTTTTAAATTTCATCTTTTCCTGATTTTTGTAATGCTCATATCTTTAATTTGTTTTGTGTGTTATTTTCGCAGGCTCCAAAGAAGGAAAAGGCCCCTCCACCGTCCTCCAAGCCAGCCAAATCTGGTGGTGGCAAGCAGAAGAAGAAGGTTCGGTGTTTTTTCCCTTTTAAGATTTAATTTTATTTTTTTTATATTTGTTTCATCACAAGTAATAAATAGTGAATTTCAGAGCTTTGATTCATTGTTTGTTTGTTGCCTATGAGTTTCAAGAAATAATTGTTTTTTTAGATCCTGTATTATTTTTTTTGTATATCCCTTATCCAAACAAGGGACCTCTTTTGGAATGGTTAATTGTGATTTGTATAATGTGATACTTGAGTGTGATATTAAGAGCTTCGTGTATGTGTTTTGCAGAAGTGGAGCAAAGGAAAGCAAAAGGAGAAGGTCAACAACATGGTGCTCTTTGATCAGGGTACCTATGACAAGCTACTAACTGAAGCACCCAAATATAAGCTCATCACACCTTCAATTCTCTCTGATCGTTTGAGGGTATTTCTTTTCCTACTGTTATTAATAATATGCTTAGATTGTATTTTGTTGTTTTGTTGATGTTTGATGCATGTTATGTCATACGGTGATAATCTCGCGGCATCATTTTGACTTCTTTTAGTTTTGTATGCTTTAAGTTATAATTTCAATTTACAGTGTCTATTCATGGAATGTTTGCTCCATGTAAACTTTGGTAATCTTAGGTGCATAGGAAAGAAATCAGAGATTAGGTCTTTGACAGCATATATAGTTTCTTTTTTTCATTTGAATTGGTGAATTTCATTATTAGTTTTCTTTCTTGCCCTTGAATGCGATCTCTGCATTTTGGAAAATATAATATTACTTGACTTGAAGAATGATGTTACCGAACAGATTGGTATTCTTTTAGTAGTACATATTACATATTGTGTGTAATTGTTTGAGACTTAAGAGATTGTCATTTACCACAGATTGGTACATAATTCTGCATTTCCTCAAATGCTATTCTTATGCCTTGTTTACTTCATGATTTAATTATCTTTTTTCTTAAAATAAGTGTTAGTTTTACCTTCCTACAAGACTATACTAGACTTTTTAAGTGAAGAGTTGTGTGCATTCCTTAGAATTGTTTTCATTATTTACAAAAATGAATTATCCCTAGCTAATATTTCATCTTCTCTCCATTACCATGGTGCAATACAAAAGTCTCGCATCTTATTAGAAAGTTAAATGCAGCTTTGATTTCTTCTTTTCAATGCTGTGTAACCACTGCTCTTACCAGAGATGTTTCTTTATGCACTTGAAAAAGTTCGTTATTCTCCACTAGATACATTAATGTTTGTTGTCTGTGTATCTTGTGGCCTTCTATTATCTGTAGTTAATGTGTTTTCTCCATTACAATGGTGCAACAATGTTAATGTATTTTATTTTCTTTTATTGTTTAAACCTTTTGTGATTCACACCCTTTTTGCACATGCGCTCATGTCCAATGCACGTATGATTGCATTAGACTATATGATTAATATAATGTCCCAGAAATTATTTTATCAATCACTATAATATTGTTATCTTTCATGCACTATGCAGATTAATGGGTCACTTGCAAGGAGGGCTATAAGGGACTTGATGGCTAAAGGATTAATCAGGTTGGTATCTGCCCATGCAAGTCAGCAGATTTACACAAGGGCTACTAACACCTAAGTGTAGCAGAGAGGGAAAGTATCAGTAGAGGTTTTTTATGTAATGTTCTTTCCAATTTTGAGATGCACATTATACAAGTCTGTATTAGTTCTGCCGAATCTATAGGTTAAGATTTTTTTGTATCCTTGTGTTTCTGGCATCTATCTTATTGTTTTTTTGGTATTCTGGCTTGTCTTGTCGGATTAATTTTATTTAATTGAATCTCTATTGTGAAAAATGATTTGATTAGGTTTATAATTAGTGTTTACTGCTGATGCCATTATTCAAACTCAATTTATTACCGAGTAACTTCAAAAACAAAGTTTAAAAGTTTGATAAATTCATTTATTGGTTATTGGATGTTGAAAATAATGTCCCAAGTTTCCATCTGGTATTGAGTCTCATATTTACTGTTATTTTTCTAATTCCACCTTGAGGTATTTTGAATGTAAATCTGTGTGTACAATTAAAAAGAAAAGGATTAATTAATTTCGAAGTCCTCTAAGTTAATTAGAGTTGAGATTTAGTCTTTAAAAAAATCGTTTCAGTTTGGTTTAATAATATTATTTTGTTAGCAAATTAGATTTATGTCGTTAGTTTTAGTGTTAAAATGTTAGTAACCGTCAATGTGGCATGTTAAGTGTGTGATGACTTATCAAAAGGATGAATAAACAATTATTTAAAGAGTTAAATGTTGTCACAAGCTTCATATTTTTTTTAAAAAAATAGTCTTTGTGTATAGCCATTCATTTTTTGTGTTGGTGTGTTCGGTTGTTTTCTCAATCTCTTAGTTTTTGCTGTCTGGTACTGCAGAAATGATTTCTTTGATTTTTCTTCTTTTAATCTTGTTTCATTTTTTAGGGTTTGCATATTTTCTAATGTCTAAGTTGTTAAGTAGTTTTTTCATTGGAACAATTGAGTCGGTTATTCGTAGAAAAAAGAGGTTATTTGTAGAAACAAGAGGAGGGAGTGTTATTGCCTAGATGAATGTGTGTTTCGTACCGTGCGTGACATGAATACCGTTAATTTTGAAAAAAAGTTGAGGTTGTATAAATTTTAGAAATCATGTGAACAAGGGTTGTAATTTTTTCAAATGATTCGACGATGACATTATTGATGAAAGAGATTTGAAGATCCAGAAGCAAAAGAAGAAAATTTACAAATTAAAAAATGAGGTCATTAACAATAGAGAATGGTTGAAAGTGTCCGTAATGATTGAAATATTGAGCTTAGTGTTTAATATTGTATTTGTAACCATGTTTTTTTAGGTTGGTTATTTGCATGTGTAATGAGATGTGTGTCAACATTTATTAGTGAAATGCATTTGTGAACAATGAGGTTGAAATGTATCTGTCATTAAATGTGTCTGTCAACATTGTTATGTATTTGCTAACATTTATCAATGAAATGTGTTTGAAGAAATGTTACTTTTGATTCACATAATATACCAGAGAAAATGCACTTTTAATTTGGTGTAATATAAGCATAACATTCCTTAACATTACTGATGTTTTTCATAATATACCGAACAAATGCACACCATAATTTGGTCATAACAGTAGTAACAAAACCATAACAGGAGCTATATTGAAGATCGTACCAAAAGTAACATTATAAGTCATAATAAAGTTACATTACAAGTCACCACAAAAGTGACATTGCAAGCCATAAGTCATAAACTAGAAATTAGGCATTGTATGCCATATGTTACAACAGAAGAAATCCAACAAAAGTGACATTATAAGCCTTAGTCATAAACTATAAAATAGGCCAAAAGTGGCATAACTAGTACACATCATAGATCAACATAAAGATTAGGGTTGACTCACAACTAGTTTTAGACCCTTTTGAAATTTTCTTTTCTTTTTGGTTGCTGGTTGTGGTTGGCTTGAGCTTGCAGCTGGTTGTGGTTAGCCTGAGGTAACAGCTGGTTATGGTTGTGGTTGCAAGTGGCCTTGTTGTGACCATCCTTATGGCACCCACTGCGTTCGATACCAAAATTTTCCCTTTTGAGTTCTATCTTATTTCTCACTTGTTCCCTTGTCTCCTTGTTCCTTTTCCTTTTGGGTTTACTAGACATCCTTTTTATGGGGGGTGGTTGCAGGTCAACAACATCTGTTTTGGTCCAAAGAGATTCTCCATTAACTGGATAAATCACTGATGCATAGCAAGCCTCATGACACTCCTTTTTGTAATAATCAGGCACAAAATCATCTACTTGTAAATGATGATCCTTCATACATGAAATTACATGACATAATGGAAGCCATGTCAACATCCACCTTCTACATGAACACTCATGCTTTGATAGATTAACAACAAACGTTTCTTCTATGAGTGATATATGCCTAACCCCGTAGTCTATTTCACCTGAACACCTATCACAAATACATAAATCAATTATGGACAAATGCTATATTAACTGTTTGTTGTTTGTCTCAAACAAGTATGAAACATTACCTAACAATCCAATTGTTTGTTCTTTGTGATTCCTTTTCCAACTTCTTTGTGGTATTTGGCAGAATGGTATCAACATATTTGGCAATCTTTTGTCTGTTGGACTCCCACATTTGCATCAAGTACACTCTCATCTATTCAAACATAGTCACAATAGGCTTGACTGTCGCAGCTACAAATACTGAGTTGAAGGCTTCTGACATGTTGTTTACCAAAGTATCACACTTTGGACCATTTCTAAACCTTGATTTACTCTAGAAGCTTGGTGGGATCTTCCAAAGGTGCTTAAATGCCTCTTTATTAACATTCTTCATTTCATGCATAATTTTTTCCCGAGCATTTGAGTGACTTGCACTAGCAGCCTTACACATCAATTCCTTTAATTTAACACCAGGAAGTTTCTTCTGAAATTGCTATATAAGTTCCTAACAAGAATAACACATGTCAAACATCCACATCAGTAACTAGTACAAGAATAAAACATATCAAATATGACCTCTTAGGATTTTCACTATTTTCCTCTCCACCTTGACTTGGTTGACTTGTAATTTTCATACTTGAACCAATGTTTGCCCTTAACAGCTCATGGCTATAATCATGGATTCTTGTATATTGCACCCTAAATGAACCATCAAAAATGCCAATAGCAAGTGACTTAACTTTGTATGCAAGTGTCTTATTGATCCCTACGTTCCACTTTTGATTTGTTTTCTCCATTACATCAATCAACTTCAAATTAGGATTCTCTCTTACATTACTTTGAATCTTTTTGCCTAACCATTTGAAATTTAGGAACCTGACCTTATAATCCCTACTGTATGTATGCTTGTCTACAATTTTTCTCAACTGCCAAGTATTATCTTCTTGTAATTTTGCACAGTATGACTCCCATGGACAACCTTTCTTACATATGACTCTCATCCTCTTGTTATCATTTTTCTTAAATTTGAGGTTTCTACTTGAATAAATAGCATAAATTCTAACTGCCTCTTTAAAGTCTTCCCTAGTAGCAAAATAAGTCCTTAATTCCCACTTGTAATCATCCATTATTTTTGGAAGTTTGAAAGTTGGAAAATCATCTTTTAAAATCTCATCATCTTCAATATCATAATCATGTTGTAACTCATCACTATCATACTCCTCATTGTCACACTTCTCACTGTCACTTAAACCTCTAAAGCTTTCCTTTGTAGCCTCACATTCATTCACATTATCTTGGCTATAATAAGTCCCTCAGCTACTGAATCAATTTGAACACTTACCAGATAAGGTGTGCCATCCAATATATCATCTTTTTGGTCACATATAATATGATCAATGGTCCCATCTAAAGTAATATCAACCATTGCATCTTCAGACACAATGTCCCCCCTCAAAGTTAACATTCTGACATGACTCTTTTTGGTTACTGCCCTCAGTGGTCCCATCCACATTAACATACTCAAATGAACCTTCTTAATCAACTACAGCTGAATCTTCTACACCAGTGAGTCCTCTTTCATCAAAATTTTCAAATAGATTATTCAATTCATCAATGGTCCCTAATTCATCAAAAGTTCCTTTAACACCATTATTCAATTCATCCAACATGTCATCTTCTAAATTGTCGTCTTCTACACCATTGAAACCTACATTAGTTTTAAGAGGCAATATTTGCTCTTCCCCATACACTAGATGCATTACATGTAGATGAACATTCTCATTGATTAGTGCAATAATTTTCGTTCTATTTGTTCATGTGTCATCTTGCAACATCACTAGCTCATTATCATCCATTGCATCATAATACCACAAGCTCTCAACTTTTGGGTAGCATAAATATTTTAACCAACCTAGGATCTCAAAGTAACTTCAAAAATCCGGGTCAACTTGGCAAATCTCCTCTAACCCTTTGTAACCTAATCTATTAAACTCACCAAACACACTCCCATGATGGATAAGACACTCAAACCTATCACTCATGACCTAATCACACCAAATAACTCAGAAATGAGGCTTCGAAGTAGAAGAAGTTATTAAATTTTTGCTTTTTAAAATAGTAAGTTCATGCACGTACCTTGGCTTTGAAATGAGACAATGGTTGAGTTGCTAAGTGTTGTCTGCTGCTATGTTCCAACAATCGCCGTCTTCAACCACCAAACTCTTTTTTTCGCAATTGCTAGATTTTTTTTTGGCAATGAAAGTGGAACTATTAAACTTAGAGAGAAGTTTACGGGTTTCAGGATTTTATGTTTTTAAAAATGAAATCGAAAATTACCATGTCACATCACTGTAATAATAATTGAAAAAGAAGTTTTTAATTTCACATCACTATCTCATTCTGCCACATAGATGTCTGTTAACATTTTTCTAATAAAACTAAAAAAAAAGATTTATTAGGTTAACAAAATTGTCTTAAAAAACTATATTATAACGTTTTTGAATTACGAAATTAAATAGAAAAATAAGGGATTAAAAAATGAATTAAACTAAAAAAAATATTTGTTAAGCAAGCAATAACAAACTAAAACAACAATGTTATATTCCAAATGAAAAGTATTGCCAATATTTTTAAAAATATAATGAGCATACAACACTTTCTTGATAAAGATGTTCGTCCAAATTGAAGTGGCTCGTAAGCAACATAATAAATAAAGATATAAACTCTTTTGCTATGTGAACTTGAGCTTTAGGGAATATTTAAATCATATAGATAATTTTGAAGTTGAACAGGTGAGTTTGTTTTAGCTTTAAAAAATAATTTTTTTTTTGTATTTTAAAAAATGAATTTTACAAAAATATTCTTTAAAATATTATAAATTTTTTTAAATTTATTTTTTATAAATTAAGACTAATTTTAACTTACTTTAACATAATCATAAATTATTAAAGAACAAAAAGTAATCAAAATCGGGTTTTTCAAAAAGTTGTATCTTATAAGTGATTTTTATAAAAAATCATTTAAAATAGTTTTAAAATTAAGTAATTTTTTAAAATTTTAATATTCAAATTTTTTAATAAAATAATAAAATAATTAAAATTACATTTTAAAAATAACCTTTCAAACCAAATTTTCATTTAAAACCAAAATTTCTTTTCTCAACTTCAATAATCTCTAAATTTATTTAAACTCTATCAACATTGAGTAAATACAAGTGTCACATATTAGTACATGTATGTAACTAACTGAATCTTTGCTAATGATTATATATAAAATCTTTGCTTAATAATCATAGTTGCTTTCTTTTATCAGTATAATCTATATGTTTTGATTTGATCTCATTAGTCTTTGTTTTTTAGGCATTTATTTCTATTGACCCCACTCAATATTTGCATCAATATTAAATTTGATTATTGAGTTGGTTGTTGAGTAATGATCAATTACATCTCATGGGCTCAATTTCATTTATATGCAAAGAACAACGTGATACTTGTTTTCTCGCAATTATAATGACAATCAAATTAATAAGCACTTTCCTCATGATATCTCTCTGACAGCACATCAAAATCTATGGTACACTATCACCGTCTGAACTCAAACTTATGCTAGACAAAATTATTTAACAATAATTTTCAGTACCTTCCTCATACTTTCACTCGACAAAAGACAATAACCCATCACTTTCATTGTACCTCATCACTATTCACTAAGTTTTGACTATTTTCTTATCTCGAACCACTCTCCCTCATCTATTGAGAAAGATGGTATTTCATGCACAAATGTAAAGTAGATAAAACTGCTTTTAATCGATTAAACGCTGAAATACACTATTTTGAACTCAAAATATTTAAATTATTTGTGATTTTTATTTAAATATATATATTTTTTAATTCCATCCAAATAATACTTAAATACACAATATTTTTGACAAAGAAGGAATACATGTTCTTTAGGATAATAGAAAAAATAATTGCTTCATTTTTCAAACTAAGAGAAAAATATTGTAACCGCTTTCTTAGATTTTAAAATTCATACTCATAAAGTTTCTATAAATACTTCTGATATAAGATTGAGATGAGATATTTTCAATTTACTAAAAAATCACTCTAATATATAGTTTTTCACAATTTCCCCACGAGTTTATCTACCATATAGGAAAGTAGTATGATCTGGAAAAGACCATACTACCTTTTTTTATTGGTTTGAAGCTACTATTTGAAGGGTACATCTGTAAAATGTTTGAAGCTAGTATATTAGTTCATGTGCATCCGATTCTGCTTTGTATTTGTTTCGCTACAACACCATTTGCATTGAATTCAAATTTTTTTCCAACCAAAATATCACTTCATACTTACTGTATATTCAAAAAGCAAATATCATGTCACAATCTTTCTTTTTCACGTAGCTTGTCTGCAGACCAAATCCTCTTATCTCTTATTTTTTTAGGTTTTGCAACTTTTGTTATTCTCTCATCTTTTCACCGCTTTCTACGTTATGTTAATCCTTATCTCATTATTTCATATGTACAACCAAATTCGGATTACATGGCAAGACCATTTGAGAACGTCAAAGACATTAACGACACAAAAGAGATTTGGAAGATTGCTGTGAAAGTTCATCATAGATGGAATGTCGCCTCTAACACGAAAGAGCACTTCGAGATGGTTGTCGTCGACAAATACATAAGTATATGATATTTCATATTCAACGCTGTTTGAGGTTGTTTCATAACTTGTAAATGGATAATGTTTTGTTTTTCTTCCACAAATTCTTTTTGAGTTTTCGTGATTTTCAGTGGAATGCATTTGTTCTTGATAATATTCTCACAGTTTTACTTATTTTACGTTTTGATGATGATAACAGAACTGCGTCTTTTACTTGCCTATAACAGGGCACTGATATCCTCGTCGTCGTTTCGACATTGTATAGTAAGACTTTCAATTCACAGTTAACTGTTAACAACACTTGAACAATAGCCAACTTTCAGGTTCAAGTTAATGAGTTGGTATTCATACCTTCAAATCATAAGTTTTTCATAAAGTTCACTGGAGGAACCACAATTGGTGATACAAACAAGCATATAATCTCAGATTTTTTTTAACTCCACTCAATTTTATGATACTATAACTAGCAAATGGAAAACAAATTCATTGATAAGTATGACTTTTGTTTGATCAATAAACCTTTTTTTTCCTCACCAACTTGATGCCACGTAAGCCTTATGCCAAACTTAACAGATATTATAGGAATGGTGGATGAAATCGGGTACACACAGATCCAGACCGACGGGAAAAAAATAGCAGGTGAACATGGTGTTGCGGGTGTCGCTACTCGAAAAATGCATCGTGCAACGACGGGGAGGCCAAAAGAATAGACAGAAGAGTCGCCACTGAACTTTATTTATCCCATGAGGGGAAAGGAAAATATCGAGAAAACCTTAAGAAAGAAATGGATAAGATGGTCTCGCGACCAAGAACGGGTTCGGAAGCCGGTTATGCAAGGGGAAGGTATTAGCACCCCTCGCATCCATCGTACTCGATGGGAACCTTTTGTTTGTCGACGTGTGAATTTATTTGCTAAAATATTATGCTATAAAAAATGTTCCACGGGGTAAAAGAAGGGTTGGAAACAGGAAAGTTAGGAGGAAAGAGAGAACAGGGAAAAAGAGAAAGAACAGACTCGGTAGGACCTCGCGGTCCTAGGCCTACGTATTCTCAATAAATGTGAGAAAGTCAGAGTCGACGTAGTTCGGGGAACTACAGATATGGGGGGAATGTGCTCGGCAAGGATTGTGGCCCTTGTGCCTACGTATCTTTACTTGAAAGAAGTAAAGAATCAGAGCAGCCGTAGTTCGGCCTACGGTGTGCGGGGAAGTTCTGGTAGACGCTGCTATCGTGTGCATTCTAGCAGTTAGGCGTATTGCTGCTCGCTCGTTGGAGACTTAAGCGTTACCTGTTTGCGGTAGAACGGACGTAGCATGCCTTTCTGGGAAAGGGTGGAAAAGGAAAAAGGGTGCTCGCTAGGATATTGCAATCCTATGCCTACGTATTCTCAACATGCAAGAGAAATCAGAGCAACGTAGTTCGTGCCTACGGTGCGGATAACCGGTGTGTTTGGGGATGATGTT